ACGACTTTACAGTATCAGGTTTTTGTCATTGTTGAAGGCCTTACGATTGTCTACAAAAATCATTTGTCTACATGACGGCAAAAAGCTCTACAGAGCTCATGTTTGTAGTATTTCATGTAACCCGAATTAAAATAAATTTTTCTTATCTTATCTTATCTATAATTGCTTACATCCACTTCATATTTGAACTCCGGTGGATAGTTGCCTTATTAGCAATCATATTCCATCTCTTCATTTTTATATTATATACGTGACTTCTAAACTCGTGTTTTCCTGAACAAGCATGAAATAATTTTCACTGGGCGTTAAAATTAGCAACAAACAATCAATCAATTTAAACTTGTGTTAAATTAGAGGAAACCCATTTGATATTTATTTATTTGTTGGGTCGGGGGACAGAAGGATTTCATATATGAATATGTTTGCCTGGTAAGAGCTGAAAAATAGGCATGATTAGCGACAGATTGAAATGAATAATAATGCCCCCTCTCCCCTTCCCCATCCTTCATCTATAAATTTAAACTGACCACCACGGAATAGCCCAATAGTGTTGAAAGTAGCGTAAAACACCAATCAATCAAAATCCCTTCCCTAGAATATCAAATAATCGTCCCTTAACTGTTATTGTCCGTGTAGTTCTTATATTTATCCAGCTTATCGTCCTACAGGGATGTCCAACTAAGGCTGTCATACCATAAAACGTTAAAAAAACAGCTCACATTCTAATATATCTGCATTCATAAATTTATTAATTTCATTTAGACTACTAGTAAACGACGCCATGTTTGTTATGTGCCTCTGCCGTCAACCTATCAAAAAAGAAGAGGTGGAAGAGAGCCAGAAGATCTTCCCAATGCAAAAAAAACAGAAATGGACTTCTTCTGGCTCACTTCCGAAGAACAAAAAAAAAAAAACGCGTCCCATTGATATGTTTTAAAAACGCCTTGCCCCTACTTTTTTTCCAAAAAAATGGCATTATTAAATATATAAACATATATATAATTAATCAAATTAAAATGCTATTGTATTTTTATAAGACCTACTTAATACATGACCTGGGACTAATGACATCTATCTATAAGTCCTAGCATACATTAATTATTATAATATGAATATGTTTCTTGTTTTAATAACCACATATGATGCTATGCATGAGTCACCATTTATCAGGACATGAATTGGGTTTACATAGAGAGGATAAGGGACGACATCAGAAAATCAATGAAGGATAAAAAACTTAATTCAAATAGTTGGGGGGGGGGGGGGGGTCAAAATTGCTGCAAGTTTTGTTTAATTAACATCGATTTTATATATATTCTTATTGGTCAATCAATTTTTCCCATGAATGGATGAAATATACAGAATACGTTGATTGACTTTTGGTTGCCTTATGTCCAGTGGCAAGTATGTCACGCATGTTTAGAACAAATATAATAGAGATCAAAGGATAAAGAATAGAGTGAAATGGTAAAAACTAAAAGATATAGAATTATAGAAACGATCTTTGATCTGAAACCCCCTACCCTCACACACACACCATAACCATTACTGCCAATACTCGCATATATACATCTCTATACAAATATCTAAATTTGAACCTACTCCCCCCCCCCCTTTCTAGACATCGAGGTTTTTGATCCGCCCCGTTAAATGTGTCTAATTATATACATTGTGTACGGGTCTAGATAATAGCTAAACGTACAATCATATAATTTGTTGGATACCTAATTATATTATATAATGTGTCACAAAATAAACTTGTATACCCCCCTTCCCAATGCAGTATTGAAAAGTAAATCATTTAAAAGTCCTGAGAATAAAATATGTTTTGAAATATGCCCTGCATACTTATTTATGCAAAGACATATAGTAATTGTTGAACTACTGTGGGGCTTGAAAAAAAATCTATTTAAGGGATTCGGAGGCGAGAACAGTAAAAAAAAGCTCAGCAACGAATCCTAAATGTAAAATGATTTGCAGCATAAGACATGAGAGCACATATCATAGATAGTATTAAATATGAAGTTCACGCCTCATATAGTGAAGTCCTATGTCATAGGACAATTGTTGTAACATGGGTTAGTAACTGGTTCCAATTTATCCTGAATTGTCTTTATTAAAGAATTAGTTCCGGAGTATAACAGCTTATGTCTCTACTTGTGGGTTTCTAGTTCTGCTGTCGTAATTAGGTGATTTTTTTTCTACATGTAGTAAAAAAGAGGGGGCTTAGTCCAAATAATTGTAACGTCCTGGATGCTTTTTATTCTTTTTTCATGTGCCTTCCTGCAACGTCTCTGAGATATGAGATAAAAAATGATATAGCACTAAAGAACGTCATGATTACATGTATCTGGACTTAGAAGGGGGAGGGGGGCTAGCTATGTATTTTTTTTTATTTCAATGTGTAGACTGTAGGAGAGTTTCTTCAGAAAAGGTTTTCATTGGAGGTGTTTTTGCCATGCACGCAGGCATCTGTTTCAGCGCTATCCATGAACAAGTTGTGTGTCAAATTAATTATTATTACTTGTCACTCGCATTTTTTGCTCGTCCTGGCCATTATTGGCATTAACAGCCAGTGCAGGACTCGCACGAACGTTAGATTTAGTTAGAGGGGCGATATTCTGACGCGTTTTTTAATTCTTGGTCACCCATGTTTAGAAAGAAAGGGGAGACATCCAAACAATTTCCGACCAATCACAAACGTTGTTGCAAATTTGACCTTATGACGTCAAAGAATTTCCCATAATGCAATTATTGCATTTAAATAAAAAACTACTATACCAATTGAATAAAAAATATTGCATTCAAATGACATTTTATACCAACTGAATAAAAACTATTGCATTTGAATGAAAATTATACCATTTGAATGAAAAATTATACCATTTGAATGAAAAATTATACCATTTGAATAAAAAATATTGCATTTAAATGAAAAAATATACCATATAAATGAAAAATTATACCATTAAAATAAAAAATATTGCATATAAATGAAAAAATATACCATTTAAATGAAAAAATATACCATACAAATGAAAAAATATTGCATATAAATGAAAAAATATTGCATATAAATGAAAAAATATACCAATTAAATGAAAAATATTGCATTTAAATGAAAAATATCAAATTTTTGCAACCAATACCATGCCATAATTATCGACAAATAATATTTCATTCAGTGATTGTTCATCGCAAGCTAATTAACTTTCGAGTTTGTTGCCGAAGTTTACCGGATCGTGACATTGATAAACAATAAAAACAGAGCACGTGGAAAACGTGACAAAAAGTGAATTGAAAGAGCCATGACATTTGTTTTTATATTTTCCATGCGTTCTCATTTGTTGAATAAACTTTTCCTTTGCAGTTGTTATGGTCCCAACAATGAATTGTTGTATTAAATTTGTTCTTCAAGAATCAGTTATCACTATTTACCTTCCAGAGCACGTTTGTTTATATTCTTTCATCACGGTTTCCCCCTTGCACTTGCGCTGTGCGTTGACCGAATTTATAACGAGAGGTCTTGTAGTTAATGTCACTGCATACGGGAAAATATCGGCAAATCGGTGTCTGGGAAGTCAATAGTTCAATATCGCTACATTTCTGACTTTTTTTTTATTAAAAAAATGGATTTTCTTTAAAAAAAAAAGTTCACGTTCACTTTTTTTTAGAGTAAAACTTAGCCATTAAAGTATATAAAACATATTAAAAAATTGGATTTTCTTTAAAAAAAGGTTCACGTTCACTTTTTTTAGAGTAAAACTTAGCCATTAAAGTATATAAAACATATTCGACTTTTTTTTTTAAATTTGAAGTTTCATATGACTTTAATACGAAAATAACTCTCTCGACAAATCCAGCACACAATTCACTATTTTATTCAATTCGTTTCTTTGATGTCTCCGTAAAGTTCCAACGACCCTGAATGTCTTTAAACGTCTTATTGCGTGTTCAACATACACACGACACTCGGACATTCTTTTATTTTTACATTTCCTTTTTTCCCTCGGCGTTTTCCGTCTTAATTGATATCTTTTATATGGTGTAACAATTGGTGCACGGTTTGCATAAATTTTATCAGCTAAGATTACATAATTTTGAGGGAAATCTAACTCCAAATTAGTCCCAATACTAGGCAAAAGATTGAATTGTTGAGCATCGTTTTGATGTCCAAGAAAACCACTTTTAACAAGGCGTATATGATTTTCATTGTCAACTACAATTTGTGTATAAATACAATGTACATGGCGATGTCCAGAGTAATATTCTTCTTGTAGTCCAACTTGAGGCCTGTATATAACATGGATTGTAACATCAATGACTGCCTAAGCAGTTGGAATTTTCGACCAGTTCCCATGTAACTGAAGGCATTGTTGACGACTAGTCCAGACTATATTTGGTGAATATGTTTCACATAAAATTGGTTTAATGACTTTTATGTGAGTACATATAGTATGAGACGAAACGTAAAAAAGTGAACTAAGTTATAACTAAGTTATTCAGTTTTGTATTAACAATCCCAGATCACAGATTAGCAATCCGAGATCACATATTGTCAATCCGAGATCACAGATTATCAATCCGAGATAACGAATTATCAATCCGAGATAATGGATTATCAAGAATACAAATCACAAGATTGATATTAATTGATCTAAAATTGTATTTACTAAACATTTTGGGTTCTTATAAAATATATTTGACCTTGAATTCTCCTGGGTATTTTAATAAAAATATAATTGTTAAAGATTAATCGCAGCGGTATCAAAGACGCCCATACAGGTAACAAAAATGATGGAGTATTTGTATTTTTGAGATGGTCCCCACATCATATTGTATTCGTCTGCCATCCAACACGAGCGCCAGCTGTAAGTAGTATCGACTTTTCTAATACGTCTACTAGTTACTTTGAGTTTTACTAGTTTGCTATTTATTTCAACTGTATCTACATTATTATAATGATTATGTTATGTTTTGGTAGAAAATGAAATTCTTACTTCTCTTAGTGCAGGTAACTTTTACAAACACACGTCTAGGTTGCTTACTACACGACTTGAAGTCATTTTCGCTTACAGTACAGTTTTTCTTGGTACTACATTTCTCTTTCATCAATTGTATCTCATGACTGCAATTGATATCTTTAGCAGTAGTACATCCATACCGCCACAAACGAAAATGCACATCATTTATATCGATTGTCTCGTTTTGGTGACATTGCAGGTCTGATGATTCCTTCCCACATAAATAAGAATATTCTAAAATTGAAATTAAGCATTCATAACAAAGCTAAATAAAATTCCCGAGAATTTAGGTGATTGTTTGTCAATATGTTCGCTTTTTTGAACGGCATTGAGGTTTTATAATAACTATAATTCTTGATAGCTTATTGTGTTGAGATCATCTTTACTTAAACTGTGCCCGTGATATAGTGGTAGAACCCCCGAGTGTCGAAGTTCGTGGGTTCAATTTTCTGCCAGGTTTAACCAAAGAAATAGGTATTTGCTGCTTCTTCGCTAAGCACGCAGTATTGAGAAGTGCAAAAACTGATCGGCTTATAGTCAGAATAATGTTTCAGGATAGGATGACATGTTTCCTTGCAGAAAGTGTCTTTTTTAACTAGCAAGATAAAAATTTGGAATAGCATGTCGGTCTAGTACTAACAGAGTAGAATATTTCATTAGCATGCGCTCGTCCTTATATGCATGTAATATGTGCACTGGACGTCAAAATACCAATCCATTCATCCATCCTTTTCAATAAACATTCCGAAATAATAATAAAGTTTTGTAAAATCTTCTGCATTTTAGGTTTTGAACGTGTTTATTTGGTTATAAGATGCGCATCGTTGTATACAATATCCCTCAATGTGAGTTCTGCAGTTTTTTCAACAATCTTGGGATTGTTTTTGTTTTTGTTTTAATAAAATGTGAACAAGGAAACAATATTGTCCGGAAAAGTAAAACATAGAAAGGTCAAATATCGAAAGAACTTAACCTCAAAAGTAAAATATGTTTTTTTTTTAAATTTCCTCAAAAATCAATCTTTTGTTAAGGTCAGTGAAGCGTAAATTGTACAAAACCCAACGAATCTTTGGTTTTGGTAACTGAATATGAAAGAAGTGAACATAAATATATATATGATTGAATAGCATTTTATTTCAATTGAGCACTGCATTTTCATTTTTTATCACTTTAAAAATTCCTTACCTGTCCAAACATGTGGTGCCAAGAACGTAAAAAATAAAATATATTCTGCATATTGAGTTTTCATCATTACTAATTTTTTGATGAAGTTAACTCTTTACGCTGGTTTGTGTTGTACTTAAGGTCGCCTATTTCCTTCCCTATAATTAATTGTGACTAATCACATGTAAACATTTAAAGTGTTATTGATTTTTAATTAACTATAAAATATATCTTCGCACTTCCAAATCAAAAGCTTCATATTTTGTGGTCGGTGTGTGTACACGTCAATTTTATTGTTCCGTATAACTGCCTCGTTAATCTCTTTTAAGTTTGTCTCAAATCGCTGCATTGTCAAATGGAGTTTGATTTTGACATTCCTTTTTAAACATATTTTTTTCAGTTATCCTGTACCCGTTGTTAACTACAACCAATGCATAACATAATACTAGTATAAGGTTATTGTACTAATATTGAGGAATATTGTTTCGCGCAGTTTCAGTGGGTAGCTTGACCATTGTTAAGTGTACGCCCGAACCTCCGCGAACCAACGGTTCTAGAGCAGATGATGTCTTGGCAGTGGGTTCGAGGGACGTTATCGAGAAAAAGATACAATCATGCTTTAGAGTCTATATTTTAGTTTTATGTTCAGTTCATTAATTGTGTTTATGTGGAATATAATGATAATTGATCTTCGGGAAAATGTCCAAAACCAGTTCCTGTAAAATATATCAATGTTGTCGTTAAATTAATTATTTTGACTTCATCTATTTTTTTCCTATTTGTATGCGCAAATTCCGTTAATGAATACATAAGAAATAGTTAATTATCATAGATTGTCAGGTGTATTATGAAAATTCAAAAGGGATTCGTGGAACCCTGTATCTGGCTTGGGACTGCTGCTGTCCATTTAAAAGTGTAATGTTGACTGTAAAAAGAATACTTTTATCATGCAGTCAAATACAGGATTTTTATGGAAAAAAATCACACATTTTTCATTTAGATGCTTTTTCTTGATCTTGATCATGCCAATTAGATAATTTACAAGTTTCATACTAACAATCAATGAAGGTGTACACATTTTATTATGTAAAAAAAAATATAATCCCAGACCGTTTGTTAATTGCAAAAAGTCAATAAAATACTTTCAAAATAAAAAAAAAAACAACAACAAATACATGTACTTTCCAAATTTTGCTTCTGACATTATCTCCTTATCATAAAAATGCTTCTGAAAAAGTTTCATTCAATTCGATGAAGATTTTGACAAAGTAGTTGATGGGTAACAAACTTTAACATTAGACTGTTACTATACTTATTAACTATAAAGCAACAAAATACGGAAAAAAGTAGAAATATATTTCATTATGCTCTGGATACTGACATTTTGTAAAAAAAAGCTTGTGTCCTATTTCCGTAAAATTCCACGAAGGTTTGAAAAGTTATTGATGTCTGAAAAACATTAACCTACTTTAAGACTAATATCAACTGTAAAAAAAATCCGTCTTTTTATCAGTTAAATAAAAATATTTTAAATATTTGGCTACTGTCTTTAAATTATCATAAAAAGCTACTGTCCAAATTTCGTAAAATTCCCTGAAGTTTTGACAATGTTTTTAATGTTTTAAAACAAACTTTAACCACAGACTGAACCTAAATGTTGATGAAGCGGACGGAATCTAGAATCGCTAAGACTCGTTTCGCAACCTGAATGACGCATGCTCGACAAAAATGGAAACCGCATATTGTACCTCAACATATAATAAATTGCTTTTAACAATAGGATACGAAGTAGAATTCACAGTAGATTCAGACTATAACTGACAATGAACAATTACATAGCATACCATTTGATTAAAGGTAAATTTTGTCACTTTTATCCCTAATTACAAGCCATTAAAGAAAGAAGTACAAGATGCACGTGCTTTTCACCAGTTCTTTAAATTTATTTAGATTAAATTTTTTTATCTTCTAAATTCATGTGTACGCCCCCGGGGGCGTTTTGACGTAAACGTAGCTACGCGCCTGAGTTTATCATGTTTATGGATAACATATTGGCAATAATCCTTTTATAAAATAGTACTAAATATTTCAACAACATTGATGATACTTTGTCCAATTTCTGCAGTTTTAAAGCATGCAATAAGAACGCATGTATCCATTTCCTCCATCTTGTTAACCTCTCATTCACTTGCGTGCATATGTCGTTTTTCTCGGAACTTCTCTATTGAATATCAAACTTTTAAGGGGAAAGGATAGAATGCAATATCGGTCAAGATGCAATATTCTTATAACTAATTGTTTATGCTGTTCTTTTAAAGTATATTCATTAAGCAGTAATATACCAGGGTGTGCTCCTTATATTGTTTGTCTGTTGGTCTTTTTTAGCCATGGCGTTGTCAGTTTATTTTCGACTTATGAGTTTGAATGTCCCTTTTGGTATCTTTCACCTCTCTGTTATGAAGACCAGAAAGAATATCGGCAATCGTTGCCTTTTCATTTTACGAAGAAATCTACATGAAATATTACGTATTACAATACTACATAATATTTCTCAGATGTTATTCCGTATCTAAAGAAAAACACAGACTGACAAATTACAACATTAACCCTGATTAAAACCCATTCAACCGTATGTGATTTCCGATCAAAAGAAATATTATGATATTACTTTTGTATTTCAAACTAATTTGAAGTTTTGAATGTATCTAAAAAGATGTGATCATTTAATTGATTGAGCTACTGGTAGGTCGTACACCTCAAGTGCGGGAGGTCGTTTTTCGATTTTTGTCCAAGTCAATCCAAAGACTCTAAATGTTGTATTTGCAGCGTGTCACTGAGCACCGTACATTTTAAGAGTAAGAGCAAAGTATTGTCTGCTCCTAGTTAGACAAATTTTGATATTTGCCCAAAGGGCAGATTCACTGACGAAGACAACAAGCGAAAAACCAAACTTAAGCATTTTTTGATTATATCCACCTTTTCATTTATCGAGGTGATAATGAGAACTGAGTTATATATTATAATGTAATCATTTTTCTATAATAAAACAAACCATGGCTATAACAAGCTGTATGATTGTTATGTGAAATTAAAAAAAACATAAAACAGGAACACACCAAATCTCCGTATATGTATTTAATTAAACTAGAGAAGATAAAGAACCTATATCACCATAAGCAGAATGAAAAAGCAGCAAAGATTTACACGTCTTAATCTAAGATTTACACGTCTTAATCTAAGTTTTACCAGCAATTTAAACGGACCTTTTTCGGACATACACATTCCATTCGAATAAAAGTGTAACAGTGCAACAATCGAGACCATTTATCAGATTATAATACTTTTGTTTAATAGCAAAATTTAATAACGAGTACTCGTTTTTTTTCCTCTCCTCTACGAAGAGGTGGAGGCGAGACTTGGGGGTGCGGTTTCCGGTGTCAACAGTTTCAAAAAGTTTGTGATTGGGTCAGTTTAAGGGGAACCACTAAACAGTAAATGCTGTTTTATATGCAATTTTTTATCAATAACATATTTCATTTCCATGGAGATGATTTGGCTCTGCCTCTCAGTCATGCTCATTTGACTTTAAAATGTTAATAAAAATAATAAGATGTGGTATGATTGCAAACGAGACAATTATCCAACAAAGTTCAAATGAAGTATGTAAGTAATTATAGGCAATCGTACGGATTTCAAAAATGAGAAAAACTCGTACCGTACAGTCGGCTATAAAAGGCCCCGACATGAAACATGTAAATTTATTCAATTGAGGAAACTAACGGACTAATTTATAACAAAACAAATTTATGAAAAACAAATATGACAGATAGGAACCAACGACAACCACTAAACTATGGACTACTGTGACGGGGTTTAATATGTTAATGAGCGCGCAACCATCCTCTAACCTGGGACAGTGGTGTTAGAGCACAACATATGAACAAACTGTAAAAATGAGTTGCAATGGGCTTAGCTCAATAGATAGGTACGAGACACAAAAATAACTAACTGTAAAACAATAGACGAA